TGCAAAATTTTGAAATCAAAATAAAATCATGGAGCCACACCACACCAAGAAGTTCTCTATTAAAATTGGGAGAAATTGTACTAATCACTCTTCTCAAATTCTATCATTATTTCTCATCTCAACTCTCTTCATTCTACAGTCGGAGTAGATAAAGCGACGTTTTTCAATGTACCAAAGGATGCAACCCTCTTGTGAAACAAGAAAAAGAGAAGAAAAATTATTCTAACCGGCTCGCAACACGGTGACGTCGAGGTTTGGAGTGTTGCAACGCTCTGCTCTCTGTCTCTAGCTTAAGCCTGGAGCGTTGTAGTGCTCTAGCATATAGCATTGCCATGCTTGTATGGAAAAGAAATTCCAAGGGCAAGGCCACTGAAACCTATGTTGCACCGATATGGATATGGCGACATGGATACGACACGATATGGATACGGGACACGACAATTCTAAAACATACAGGATACGGATACGACGCGGATATGGCATTATAATATATAAATCATACATAAAAAATAACAAATTAATCAAAGCATAATATTTGAAATGACAAAAAAAAATGAAAGCAACATCATTTGTAGCATTGTATCTTATAATATCAAAATAAAAGTAAGCATTAAATTTTTAAATGTTTAGTACAACAACATAAACAAAAACATAAATTGCCAGTAGATGAAGTTTTTAATTAAAAGTACAAAGGATTGACACAATTAATCCACATGAATTTGAAACATGAATTTTTTTTAATAAAAAGTATAGATATGTTGCGCCTATGCCGGGGGTCCAAGGGGGCGCTGCTCCCTGGAGGGGTTCGACCTGCCCGGTCAGGTTGCGGGGTCAAGGGGTAGCGCCCCCGGAACAAATTTGGTACCCCTCTGTACCGAGCAGTACCGAGCGGTACCGAGTTCCGGTACCGAGCGGTACTAAGTTCTAGTATCACTCGGTACTCACTCGGTACTGAGTGGTACCAAGCAGTACCGAGCAGCACTGAGTTCTAGTATCGCTCGGTACTGAGCAGTACCGACAAGTACCGACGGTACCGAGTACCGAGCAGTACTGAGTTCTAG